CCCAGTTTCTTTTTTTCAAGTCCCGGTTTGCGTATTCAATAGCAGATGAATCCCATAATGATGGTCGGGACTGAATTTCAATTATCAATCTTTCGGTGTCGAAATTATCCACGTTTGGAAGAAACAGAAATACACACAAGCACATTCACGCACGGACGTCAATGGACTGGCCAGACTGTCATGTGATGTTGATTTGGCCTTGGCAGCGACGCCAGTAGCATTTGAACTTGGCATCTTGGTTGGCAGCGATGCCGAGTTGGAAGCGCTGCCAGACGGATGCCAGGTGCGTTATATGACTACTAAATTAATGCATTAAGTTTGGCCGAGATGCTGGCAGCTGCGCCATGGCCTCCCGTTGGCATCCTAGTGCGATACCGCCCTAAGCCTCAACTAAATGGCTAACAACGTCTTCCTGTATCTGCTTAACGATGCATTTTATCTGATAGATTCTGATCTGATGTAGTGTGTTGACTGAGTACCACCGAACCACGAAAGCAGAACAGAACACCTTTATTGTTCGCTTTACAAGTGTTAACAGGGCCTCGCCCTTGCTTTATGGCTGATGCTAGGTTCAGGATTTGATTAGGAAGATTCCATTGGATTGCTCGCCTAACGGGATTCGAAACCGGACCCTATCGAGGCGATGATGCCAGCCGAGGTATCAATTTGGAATAATAAATCAACTTGAGAGTTCAAAACTCACTATTTCGTTTATAATTTTTTATAACTAGGCTAATTGCTACTAATGTGCTGTATGCGTAATTATAACACGTTTTAACATTAACGCGAGTCTGAGAGAAAATTTAACCCCCGGGCAAACTTTATGAGATTTAGTAATTAAATAACGAGCCTGAGTCTTTCAAAGTGAACTCTGGGTAATAGTTGAAGTTGAACCTCGAGGAAATATGGATGGAAGATGTGGACTGGATCTCTGTTCCATCGAGTTTGTTACAAATTGAATGTACCCATCTTACGAGGAATGCCTATCACGTTGCGATTTAAAATGTTAGAATTATTTTTTCGTATAACAACTTTTTTAAAGGCACGTTTACACTCGGGACATTTTGCGCGAAACTTACGTCCTACAAATGTTCTGAATTTGGAACAGAACATTTGATGCACAGTTGTATTCTACACAAATTAGTCGTCATATAAATATGTACGAGGTGCGATCGGAAAGTTTCAAGACTGTGTCAATAGAGGGCGAACCGGATGTAGTACGAGCTTCTGCCGCTAGGGGGTGCGGCCTACATTCATAGTGAATCAGTGTGCCAGCCGGCATCATCGAATTAGCATTTGTTTCTTAGTTACGGGCGTTTTGGTAGTGCATTACACCGACCCTCCTGCGATTTCGGAATGGCGTGT